TAACAGCAACCCAGTAAACCCCTATACCATGTCAAGGCAGGGAATCCAGAGCTGTCAGATTGGTAACAAGTTGCTTTAACCCAAACAAAGAGGGTTCTACCCTATATGAACCATAGTCTAAACTATTCTAAACTCCTTAGAGGGGGTTATATAGGGGATTATATAGGGGACTACTATAGGGCTTATTAAGGGGGATACTAGGAGTTTAGACAATTGCTCATATGGCTCTTAGGGTGTTGGGTTTAGGGCTTTCAGACCTACGTGTTCTTTGCGAGGTTCTCTGAGGAAGGGCCGTGCTTTTGCAAGCTAACACCTCAAACCAAAGCTTTCAGAACAAGGGTCTTGCTCCTGTGGGTATATAGAACCTTGAACCATAAACCTTAACCCCACGTTGACCCTCAACATGAAGAGGCATATTTGTAAAGTCCTTGAACGGAAAAAAGGGCAGGAGGGGTTTCAAGTGTTTCCGTATATATACTCTATGTACCTATACGCGGTTTAGGATCTAGACCCTATATATATATAGTAAAAATAGTAATAATAGTACGAATAATGATAATGATAACAATAATAATGGTCCTGCTCGTAGGTGCCTAAAGGGCACCACATTTTTGCAAACCTCTACCTAAATCCCCAAAGTATGTAACACAATAGCCCTAAACCCAAAATAACAGCCACAAAGGCCATTATTTTGCATACTTTTGGGGTCCAGGTACACGTTTGAAAGCTTAAACTCAACCCCCCGCATTTCTTGTGGACTTAATCCTCCGAGCTCGACATACCTGCAAGCCTTTTTCGACTGCCTAGTGCTAACAATGCCGAAGATTAGCATGGCGAATGCTCAACCTAAAAAGGCAATGCGGGCATATGATATAGTACATGCTCTCCGCCAAAGGGGCAACTACATCGGGGCCCAAACATATACTATATAGCAACATGCACCATCTGGGAAAACTACTGGTAAGAAGCCTTCCACCCTACGGTCTCTACAGATACGGAGAACCTGAAACTGAGCCCAAACAGTTGACTTCCAACATGCGCGCTCAAGAAGCCCTTTGACACCTACTTAAGGGCTCATATCTAGGACCCGTAAGACAGGTAGAGGCCCAATTTGGGGCCCGTAATTGGGACCTTAGACCAAAGAAACCGCAAAACCCTCAACCCTACACCCTAATCCCCTAAACCCTGCTCTCTAAACCCTGAACCATTCACCCTACACCCTAAACCCGTAAATCCCAAGCCCGATTTGACCCAAGACCCAGCGAAGCCCGAGGACTCCTTGTTCGGAGGGGTCCTGATCGCGGGCTTAGGCGGCCTCGTCCAGTGCCTCTGAATGTATACTTGGGATCAGGGTTTAGATAAAAGCAAAAATGTCACGCAAGGCGATTAGTCTACATACTTTTGGGGTTCAGATTGGGTTTGGCGCCTAAAGGTTCGGGCTTCAGCATTCATTTGGAGATCAGAGATTTGGGCTATAGGTTCTAGACTAGGGCTGGAGGCAGAGGCTTGGAGATTTGGACCTTGTCACTAGGGGCTACTACGTAGACATTCGGTTGATGCGCCCAGCCACCCCCCAGGCTCCCGCATGGATGAGAAATGTATTGTTCTAGGGCACCTAGACCCCAAAAGTAGGTAAAATGATAGCCCCAAACCCTTCAAAATAGCCCAGAAGGCAATTGTTCTACATACTTTTGGGGTTTAGGCAGGGAGGCTAGAAAATGAAGGCCCTTGTGACGCGCAGGGTTTGGGTTTACTCCGCACCCCCAACCTCTACCCTGAGCCCTTGAACCTAAACCCTACCTGAACCCCAAAAGTGTGTAGAATAATGGCCGTTTGGGTAATGTTGAAGGGTTTTGTGCTTTTATTCCACGAACTTCTAAAGTTCAGGTAACCCCTAAACCCTACGAACGCTCAACCCCGTTTTTCAGATTAGATTGTATTATCTTCCAAGGTGGATGCGCGACACCCGCTGGGACTACGCGCCGGAGATCTATCACCACTATGGCTTCCAAGCGCTAGGCTGGGACTTTTGTATTCGTATTCTTACCATTATTACCATACTAATACCACATTTTTAAAGTGTTTATTATCATTATTATTTCTACTACTGGTATTACTATTACTGATATTTTGGAGTTCAGGGCTCAGAGTTGAGTGGATGTGGCTTCAGAGCCATGTTTGAAGGTAACCTAAACCCTAAACTTTGAAAGGTAGCTTTAGAATCCAAACACGATGTAGAACGTTCCGCAATGGCAGTTGGATTTTTCATTCCAACCGCAGGCTGCAAGAGAGAGAGAGAGCGAGAGAGAGAGAGTGAGAGCCAGGTGTAGTAAGGAGCAAGGTGCTTATTCTATTTTACGGCTTTCCCTTTCAGAAGAGATGCACGGACGGGTATTGCAAGTAAGAATCCAAATGCTACAGGAAGTTTTCCAAACCCCGAGCCCCTCAACCCCTGCACCACAAGGGGCCGGCGTCACCTTCGCCATCGTCTTCCGGACTCAGTTGGCGTGGAATCGATACTGGGAGGCCGCCTTATCCTGTCCTCCAAAGCCAACTCAGGGTTTAAAGTCTATTAGGGGTTATATATGGGTTAGATAGGGGTTTATTTAGGAAAACTGGAATAGAACATGGAAACTACTATAGAGGGGTTACATGGGGATTAGGGTTTTAAGTTTGAGGCTTGGGGTTCAAGGTTTAGAGTGTAGGGCTAGGGGAAGTTGAGGGATTTCCAGTTGAGGGTTTAGGGCACAGTGCTTGGCAGTGTTTTGGCTCAGGCATTCGTGCGTACTGGATTGCTGTCAAGGAACTTGTTTAGATTTAAACTTACAACAGTAAGGAAACCTCGTTATTGCTGATTATACAAGCATATTACGACAACTTAGTTTAAGTTGTTAACAGCAACTCAGCGTAGGGCCTAAAGATGGGTGTACGGGTCATTGGGCTTTGCGTGAACAAAGAAGCAGTTGGCTCTTTTAATTCTCATAGTGGCCAAACCACGGTGCCCTTGAGTTGAGGGAGGACCTTCCATTATCACATCAGAGTAGGTCAGACCTTTGAATTCAGGATCATGTCTGTTGGGCTTCCGAACTCACTCTTAGTCTCTTCCTCCGAGACTTTTCTCAATAGCGAGGTAAAGGAGCAATATAGAATTTAATATAGGAACTTTACCTTACTGGGTGAGTGGAAAGTGGATAACCTTTAACCTCTTGAGGTAATACATGAAGCACTACTACCTAGACCCCCGAATTAGGTAGAATAAAAGGTCGACACCCTCAAACGGCCATTATTCTATATATTGTTAGGGGTTCGGGTAGGAATAAATGCTGAAGCTTTTGGTAATAAAAGGACTTTGGTAACCCCAACCCCCAAACTCCTATGATTATCATATGCTGGTTATATGGTCCTAATTTTGGGGGTTGGGATTACCAA